AATGTGTCCTGATTGTTATGGTCATGTAGTCCAACCAACCGGCACAAGGTCATTTGATGACTACAAAAACATTTGAAGTTATTTCCATATACACAAATACCTATTTTCCATTCCAGTGCTTGAGTGGGAAGCCATAGTTTGTGATTATTTGTCTCCAACATGGAAAGAATAAGAATTAGTTAAACATGCTCTTTATATATGTACTAGCTTACTGACAAATAGAAGATGGGTATATCATCTAGCAGATGCATTCAAACTGGTAAATGGACATACATAGCCCTATATCATCCCTTTCTCTATGATTAGGATGTTAGTGTATACAGTATCTGTCTAGTATGTTATTGGTGATGAACCCAGAAGCATGTTGCCTGCAAGTTGGAGCATCTACACTTCTTATGTTCATCAACAACTAGATAGAGAACTCTAATTCTGGGACTCAGATTTAGGAAAGTACTATTTTGTATCATCTAAGCCATGTACCTTCATCTATACTTAATGTTCATTTAAGTAAAAACTTAACATTTCATATTTCTATTACTTGATAATTATATATAATGTATTTTATCTCATTCACCCCTTTAAACATTTTCCCTAACTACTCTCAGTAAAAAATGAATATTGTAGAACACTATCTATTAAATGATTGTCTTCTATTGGGAACATTTACTGAAATTCTTCAAATCCCAGTTATTCCTAATACATTTTATTTTAAACCTGAAGTTTCAGCATACAGCTATAGGAAACACATGAATATCACATAAATGAGAGAAATATAAAATTGAAAAGAAATATAAATGCCTATTTCTATTATCTATTAAAACACAGTATATAAATAAATGAGAATGCCAATAAGGAATTATCTCAGCTGCAACTTCAGCTGGTATGTCATGTGCTTTTGGTAGTAGGAAAGTCTTGAGAAATATCCAGTAGAGAAAGAACAAAATAAATTCCAATGTTCAAGCTTGTTTTGGTGTACCTCTTATTAATTCAATTGAATTGCAAAATATTTATTCCGAACTCTGTATCAGATTATTGTTGAAAACAGAGGACAGAACACTCATGTAAATTCCACAATTGGGTTAAGTCAATTTGATTATCAACTCAAGAAGCAAGTGAGTTGAAGATACGATGTAGTGGGGGGTATGCTGTTGACAAGCATCCTGTATGTCTGAACATTCCACTCTCCTGCGCTGTACATGCTATAAATTGACTTCTGCATACCTCAGTTTCATATGTGCCTTCTTAAGCTCTGGATATACGGGATCTTGCTTTTCTTCATTGCTTGTATATTCACAAGCGTTTGCTTCATATTTGATGGAGAATAGGCTCATGACTTTTGTTCCGAGCCTCCATGTATTGGAAATGAGTTGCATGCTGCATGAAACTGAGTGCATTCTGCCTTTAGGACCTTTGCTTCATAACCTGAAGGTCCAAATTTCTCATTAAATCCAGAAATCTACCTCAAGGAAGAGAATGTGTGTCCAAGTCCATGGGACTGTCAGGGTAGAAGGATGTGTACTAAGGGCATGGATATGTTTCACAATGAAGATTGCTTCACAATAATTTATAGGTGATGATAAACTGAAAAGTTCAACTGAGAGGACACAAGAGGATTGCCCCTAGATGATTGGGAAAGTCCTTCTGTGTATATGTTTCTCTTATTGGTTAAGGAATAAAACACTGATTGGCCAGAAAGGAAGTGACATAGCTGGGCAGCATCAGAATATAAGCAAGGACAAACAGGAAATCACACTCTTTTCTCTTCTCTGCAGAGACACTGAGTCAGCTGCCATCATGTAGCAGGCAAAGGAGTTACAGGTCTGATAAGCCAAGACCACATGAAAAAAAACATGGATTAGTAATTATGGGTTAATAATTAATTCTGAACTAGCCAATAAGAAACTATAAACAAAGGACAACAGTATTCATAACTAATATAGCATCTGTGTGGTTATTTGGGCACTCAAGGGCTGGAGCACCTGCCGGGCCAGAAAAATCATGTTATACCTAGATTTCTCTGCTTTGAAGATCATATTATAATATACAATCTGGGTTTGGGAGATGACTCAGAGCTAAGAGCACACACCACTCTTGCAAAGGACCAAGGCTTAGTTACAAACACCCACATCAGGCAATTTACAACTACTTGTAACTCCAGCTCCAGTATATCTGACACCTTCTTCTGGTTTCCATGGAGTCATGTACTTATATGCACAAATCCATACACAAACACATCCACATCCAGATGCATGCATGTGTGCATGTGTGCATGTATGCTCTCTCTCTCTCTCTCTCTCTCTCTCTCTCTCTCTCTCTCTCTCTCTCTCTCTCACACACACACACACACACACACACAATTAAAAGTAAAATAGAATCAGCACTTCGGGCTCTTTCCTGGGATCCCTAGCCCAATTCCTTTCTTGGGAATGCTTTGAACAGTCTGAACGAGCTGATTTCCTCTCTATGCCTAACTTGAAAGGCTAATTTTCTCTCCATTTCCTAGTACCTGCCAGATTTTCATCTTTTTCTGTACTACATTTTCAGCTAAACACTAAAAAGTTCTTTTCCTTTATCTTTCAAAATGCTAAAATAGTAATATATTAATTGTATAATTAGTCTATTATATATAAAGCACATAATTTATAATGTTATATATTTATATAAGTTACATTAGCAATATTATAGATAAGGAGAAGATATATGATAGAAACAAAGGAAGAGATAGAAAGATAGATAGATATATGGATAGATAGATGGATAGATGCTATAATATTCTATCAATGAATGCTAGTATCACACAATTTGATTAAACTTTGGGTCACAAATGTGGTAGTATATTTTCATGATCTAACAAAGTCCCTGGGAATCAAAATGCAAAGCTAGCCACAGCCGTAGAGCTAGGCAGTGGTGATACGTACCTATAATCCCAGCAGTCATACTAGCTAGCCATAGAGGCCTGGTGATGTTGGTACATACCTTTAATCCCAGAATTTAGGAGACAGAGGCAGAGGGATCTCTGTTAGTTCAAGGCCACACTAAGCTACAGGAAACTGATCCAGTCTAAAAGATAAATAACTCACTCAAAGGTGATCGTAGCACTTGGGACCACATGCTTTTACTCCTAGGAGGTAAGAGTGATATGACTGGGCAGAGACAGGATTATAAAGTGTGAGGAGACAGGAACTTGCAGGATGGCAGTCTGAGGCTTGGTGGAGAGCAGTGCAGTCTGCATTACACTCTGAGGATTCCTGGAGACATGGTCACCCATTTCGGTCTGAGGTAAAGGTGAGAGCTAGTGACAGGCTGTTTCTTCTCTGATCTTTCAGCTTTAACCCCAATATCTGTCACTGGGTTTTTATTATTCATGTTACACCCAAACCTGAAGCAACATGATTTACAAAAAAGGGTGGGTAAATCTCAAGATGCTGGTATATGTACTGACTTGTTGAAATTTTGGAAGCACATTTTAAATGACTTTTTTATATAGCTTAAGAATAGCAGAATAAAATCCCAACAATTAACAGATCTGTCTTAAATGAAGTAAATGACAATTGGGTGAATGAAGCATGATTGGATTAGCCTGAGTACTGCTAAGCATGCTGGTGAAATTATTGAGGAATTTAATATTAAGTGACAATGAAGGACTATTAAGAGAAAATCTATACTAATGCTAGCCTTTTCAGTGTGGTGTCCCTTCCCCAGTGTAGAATGGAGAAGAAAGCCTTAAGTGATGACATGGAAAACACACCAATGCATAGACAGTTTTATAAATGTCTTCCTTTTATGAAAACTGGTGATATCATTCTTTAAATCCTCAAATGATTCACGATTAAGGCATGATAATTCATAAGAATTAATGTGTAACTAAAAGTGATGACATTTTTGTTTTATGCTGACATAGTTCTCAAAGTAAAAATTAAACAAATAATGCAGGTATTATTTTGACATATTATAAATCTAAGAGACTTTTAAAACAATATTTCTAGCTACATAGCTGCACAGATTCTGACATCAGAGGAAAAGGAGTTCCTTTATAACTAATGGATCTCAACAGGCATTATTAAATTTAAAAAATGTGTTTCCATTATACATTGTTTTTGTATTTGATCTTGCCTTTGTCTTTCAACTCCCCTTCATGCATATAAATATTCCAAAACATATTCAGAAAACACAGAATCCTAAGACTTACAGATTCCAAAAAGTAGTTTGCTTGGTAAAGCTGTTGTCCCATAAATATGAGCACTTGATTTCACATACCCAGAACCCATATAAGCCCACCCATGTCTATAATCCAAATGCCCCTAAGACAGGACAGGAATGAGAAACAGGCAAGCCTGTGGAAGCTAACGGGCCAGCAAGCATCAATACACAATAGCACCAACTGACCCTATCTCAAATAATATGGGAGGCAAGGAGAGTACTCAAGAATATTCTCTGGCTTATGCATGCTCACCATTCACGAGCGTGCACACACACACACACACACACACACACACACACAACACAACACACAACAGGTGCACAGACTGAAGAAAATAAGAATTCTATCAAACATGGCAGACTCATCTTATGCCTCGACCTGACAAGTCTTCACTGTTTTTCCCTTCAGGTTTCTGAGTATATTCCCACTCTTTTTGAATTGGAATAAGAGCTATGCTGTTTTTTATTTATAGTTCTCATTTTCAAACAGTTTTGCCCCTACTTTATTTCTAGCATGAAGGGTTAAGTGCAGGGCCTAATTTAACTCCAATTCTTTGTAACACAGTTCCTATTTGCACCTCTGCTTCTTAGTAAGCCATGATTGTGAACTTTTTTCAAAGCTAATCATTTTTAAGAAAACTTGTGTGATGGTGAGATGTTTCTGTGGGTAAATTTCTTTCCACTCAAAACCAGGGACCTGAATTAACTTCAATGCCCAGGGACCAGTGTAAAGAGAAGACAGGTTTAACAAACTTGTATCCTGACCTCCAAATTCATGATGCACACGTGTACACGCATGGTACAGGTACACATATCATAATAGTAAATGCTTTACATAAAATAACTCCTAGGGAAAATTCATGAATTGGCATAACACTTGCTGATGGGGCTCCACCCTCTGTGTGAAAGCATCCCATGCCACACCTGCCCTCATCATCAGAGGTACAAGAGACCTCCATAGTACAGTGTAGAAGCTTGGATTCCAACATCCACTTGCTGCTTTCCCATCAAACCGTCTATACCACATCCTGTGTACAACACCATTAATTTTTCATTTCACTTTTGTTTCTAATCCAGCGCTGGCATTCTATCTGTAAAATATAATGAACATGTTAAGTGTTTTCAAATTCCTATCACACTTCTGAAAGTTTTCCTTCACATTCTTTATATAGAACAAAAGCCATTTATGCACCAATATTCATATAAATATCATACATTTATTGGTGATTAGCTAGGTAATTCCATTTTGTAATCTTCTACAATGTCAGAAAAGGTTTCTTGACAGTGGTGTGGACAGAAGGTGTGTGTTCTTCTTGTCCCCCGTCGCATTTCATTCCTTTTATATAGAAGATTGAATAAAAAGCACATTGCATACAGAAATGTCAACTAATAGAACAGGGTGTTGGGAACAGTTCAATGAAGGTGAAACCCAATCCAACAACCTGAACACATTCATTCCGATAACCCACTTAAGTTCCTATCCCCACCCACCTGCAGGCCACTAAAAAAATCTCTTCTATTTATATCCTTTATTATACAGCTGATATCTACTTATAAGTGAGTATGTGCCATTTTGCCTTTCTCAGTCTGAATTACCTCACTAAGAATGTTTTCTCGTTTCATCCATTTCCCTGCAAATTTCCTGATGTCACCGTGTTAAACACCTGAGTAACACTCCATTGTGTAAATGTACTTCGGCTCATAGGAACTCAAAGAGACTGAACGACAACCAGGGAGCCTGTATGGAACTGGCCTAGGAACTCTGCATATGTGCTACAGTTGTGAATCTTGGTCTTCTTGTGGGACTCCTAAAAGTGAGAGCAAGAGCCGACTCTAACTCTTTTGTTGACTTTTGGGACCTTTTTCCTCGTGCTGGGTTGCCTTGCCCAGACTTAATACATGGGGAGGTGCTTAGTCTTAAGGCAACTTGTAATGCCATGTTTTGTTGATATCCATGGGATGCCTGATCTTCCTGAACTGAAACAGAGGGGCAATGGATTGAGGGTGGGGACAGATGAGGTAGGGGGAAGGAACTGGGAGAAGAGGAGAGAGGGGAATCTGCAGACAGGATGTAAAATAGATTAATTAATTAATTTATAAAAAGATAGCTCATTAACTTACAGCTCAGATCAGAGGTAAGTGTGAAGCATAGATGTTTGTCTTTTTAAATAAATGACTTTTGACCCTGTCATTGAAGATATAAAAAAAAACCTTATAAAGGCTCAGGTCGACTATTACATATATATTCTATGAAAAATAGTGATCAAATCCATCAAAATAGCATATGTTCCTCTATTTCATGATTTATAAATTGAGTACAATAAACAGAACAGATAACTGAATCTATTGAAGCTTTTAGTACCAAAAATGTAAAGACACCCAAGACTCAGAAAGACTTGAAAAAATATCTTCAAAGATTTTACTGTGTGTGTGTATGTGTGTATACATTTGTGTATGGGTGAGAGCGTGAGATCTCTTGGATATGGAGTTAGAGTTGTGTGTGAGCTACCCAATTTGGGTGCTGAGAACCAAATACTGATCCTTACAACTGAGCAGCAAGGGCTCTTTAGTTCTGAAGTATCTCTCCACCCCTAGGAATTTATGAAATTACAGAAAAAATAACATTTGTAAAAAACCTACAGAGGAAATAAACATAATGTTGCATTTACAACTATATATTAAAGACACTATCATATTTTTACAAATAATAACTAGAAATTACAGAAATTAAATGACTAATTTAAAATTATAAGATAATTTGTTAAAGTATCATTTTATTTTACTATCATTTTCTGAAATTTTTCTCTGTCTCAGGTCATGTTTGTTATCATAGGTTTCAACAGGAAGCAAGAAAAATCAACAATGCATTTTAATAAGTCTTTTTCTCCAATGGGCAAAGATACAGTAATAAAAGATGGCCAGTAAATTCCTGTCACCCTGCTCCGTCTGAAATCTACTTAATTTTTAAAAAGGAGGAGAGGCTATGGAGATGGCTTAGTAATTAAGAGTGCTTGCTGCTCTTGCAGAGAATCCAGGTCTATTGACCTGTAAGCACTGTACGTTCAGCTCCAAGGGATCCGATTCTCTCTCTCTTTATTCTGAGTGAGCAAGTACACATACACTCATGCCTATGCAACTGTGTGCACATTCACACACACACACACATACACACACACACACATATACATGTGAGCACACAGTCAAAAATGACATGAAGAAATAAAATGTGAGGAAAAAAATTAGAACAACTCTAATTGAACCCAATAATTAGAAAGTCATGATATAAAATGTGTCCAATAATGGAAAACTGTGATTGACAGACATCTCCCAGAGTAGACCCCTACCTTCAAGGATTAATAGACCAGGTATTTGTCAGTCAGCTGTGGGTGATCAGTTATACCCTAGATGATAATAGGTATTCGTGTTTGTTTTGATTTACACTTAGTATTACATAGACATATATGGCGCTTGGGACATTCACTGAACTATGGGAAACATATTAGAGGTAAAATTCTCACAAAAGAATGATCCTGACTCCCCAGGAGTTATCCACTGTGAATAGCTCCTCAGTATGTGGATCCTGCAGATAATCTATTCCATCTGTAATTGGGATTTTGGCTGACTTAATATTGTGTGTCTTTTGCAGGTAACCATAGCTAATGTGAGTTCATGTTTAGGACCAACCATCCAGTCTCTATTTTCAGCATTCTGACCAGTTATGTGTCTATCTATTTACTGTTGCCATTGGAACAAAGGAGCATCTCTCATTAACAAACTATTCTTTTAAAAAGATGGGAGTTAGTTGAAAGAACACCTGAATAAACATGATGCCATTTACAATGAGTCAATGCTTGAATGATTTAAGAAAATAAGCTCTTAAAAGATTGAGTTGTAAGTCTTAGACCCATTTAACCTCTTCAAATTAGAGGAAAATTGGCAGAGAAATACGATTTGAATAGTCTCAAAGTATCTGTCCCATGGTGTATTTCCTTATTACAGGGGTTAATGTGGTAACTTAAAGATAAGAAATTGAGCACATGCCATCATCACCAGCTAATGAATCCTAATATCCCAAGAAATAAGACATTCTAACTTCATGGATTCTTTGATGCCCATTATTATTATTATTATTATTATTATTATTATTATTATTATTATTATTATTTGCTATTCTTAAGAAAAACAGTACAAACTATTATCATTCCAATCACAAGAAACCATCAAAGAAATCCAAATGAACTGATTCCACGAAATAACATAGGCATCTTGTTAATGTCTGTATAATGAATAAAGATGGAAGACTGGGAAACTGTTGACATTGCAAAAAGAGTGAAAAGAAAAAAATCAAGATAATGTCATGCAGGATTTCCCTGAGGTTTTTGAAATGTAGAAGAGGGCATCACTAGTGTTGGGGGTTTATCATCAGAAACACATTCCTTGGAATCACAGACCTGAGATCTGATCCACATAAGCCATGTAAAGATACCAGGTGTGGGTGGTACACATTGGTAACACCAGCACTGGGGAGGCCAAGGCAGGAAGATGCCTGCATCTCATTGACCATCAGAATAGATTAATTGGTGAGCTGCAGGGGGAGTGCGAAACCCTGTTTCAAAGTAAGTATGTGCCATCTCTGAAGAAACTCAGAGACTGTCCATTTGCCTCTACAGGCATGTGCACACCCACACACATATCAATTAAAGAAAGAAAAGACCATCAGAGGAAAAGCTGTGCAGGTTTGCAAGAATAATTAATTCCAAGTCTGATAAATATATTGGGGCTATGGACCCTGTTCATGTTAGATATTGTGACCCAGCATGTAAAAAGCTATTAAACTGTTGTCAACATTTCTGTGAGGTTAAAAAATTATAAAACAAGTTTTCCAAAAGATAAGTCACTACAGAACCCAGAATCGTTGAAGAACTGAAAGGTGCACATTTTAAATGTCAGATTCCTCTATTGTTTGCTTCAAGGATAAATTCTGATGGTGGAGTTTCTTTTACGTCAATCTATGAAATCCTGGTTTGGTGAACCATTTGTTTCCTCTCTTCCCATGCCATGGTGGAGGATGAAGCAAACAACAGAGAAGAATATCAATTCCTTCTTCCCAGGAGGTAATGTTCGTCTAAAGAGCATCCGGTCCCTTCCTTTTGCACTCTTCTGTCCCCATTGGCCCATGCTTCCTTGTTTTCAAAATCCCCTCCACAGCTATGCCTTATCTGTGGCTAAGTTTTTTTAGAAGAGATGAAGTCACAGCCTAACTGTGTTGCCAATCAGTTGACAACAGCAGAGCATCTCTTTCTTTAATGGACATAAAGTATAGTATGGTGTCTGACACACCAGCAAGAACTATTGGATTTTATGCACTCATTCTGAACTCAGAAGGCAGGAAAACAGTTTACTGGATTTAAAATATGAGAAATTGTACTTTTTTTTGAGAAATTGTACTCTTAAATGTCTAATTTCCTTTCTTTTGAATGCTCACCCACCAACTCCTATTTTTAAAAGGACTAAATAAAATGGGTCAGATATGGAAGAGAAAGACATTTACAACAAGGCCAAAATGTATATGTACTTACTTATTTATTGATTTAGAAGCAGATAATTTTTATATTTATTTTTCTTGTAAAACTCATTATTTGCATATATATGGAGAAATGCTTAATTATAAATAACTTACATGTATACTATTTCATTCAATTATCATTTTGTAAAGAGAATTGCTACATCCATGTTCTTCATATTACAGTCATTCAGTTGGACACATTGAGTGATTTTATAATGTGAAATTCACCTCAAAAGAAGCTATTACACCCTTGTTGACTGTGTCTTTTGCCTCACATAAGCTTCTCAGATTCAGGAGGTCCAGTTTTTTAATTACCAATCTCAGTGTCTGTGCTTTTGGCATTATGTTAAGGAAGAGGTCTCCTGTGCCAATTCATTCAAGGAAACCTCCCACTTTCTCTTCTAAGAGGTTCAGTGTGACTGGATTTATACTCTGGTCTTTGATCCATTTGGACTTAAGTTTTGCGCATGATGATAGGTATGGATCTATCTGCAATCTTCTACATGTCTGCATCCAGTTATGCCA